AAAAAAAAAAAAAAAAAAATACCAAAAAACAAATATGTGAGAACAGGAAGTGAAAGAAAGTTAACTAGTTCATGGTTGACCACTTTCTTGGCCAAATCTGTAAGAGTAGGAGAGGAAAGAAAGACAGTGGTCAGTTCCATGAGGATAGGCAAGTGACTTAGCCAGTTTGATGGGGATGGGAAGAGTGTGGGCTTTGGCTAGTTCCTTAGACATAAAGAAAGGGTTGGTGGACCTTTTTTGGTGTTGAGGGGGGAGATTGACTGCCATCCCCCTGGCTCCCAGAGTGCTGAGAAACGGAAGGCCATGCTGGATGAGCTAGCAATGGAGACACTGCAGGAGAAGTCCCAGCACAAGGAAGAATTGGGAGCGGTCCGTCTACGGCACGAGAAGGAGGTGCTGGGGGTGCGTGCCCGCTATGAACGTGAGCTCCGAGAACTGCATGAAGACAAGAAGCGGCAGGAGGAGGAACTCCGTGGGCAGATCCGGGAGGAGAAGGTGGGTGGGTAGATGACGATGCCCTTCCTCCTTTAGAACCTGGGGACCACAGTATTGCTGATGGGCCAATGGATGGTGTGTATGAGGTTCCCATTCCTCTGCCTTCCTGGCCTGTGACATTCTTTTCCCTCCCAGGCCCGAACACGGGAGCTGGAGAATCTCCAGCAAACAGTGGAAGAACTTCAAGCTCAGGTACACTCCATGGATGGAGCCAAGGGCTGGTTTGAACGGCGCTTGAAAGAAGCTGAGGTGAGTTGGTAGTACCTGGTAAGCCACAGAGGCTGGTTGGGGGACCATCATGTCTAACCACAGGAGTAGGAGTGGTCAGGTCCTGGAACTTTCTGAGGTGTTCTGGATTTGTGGGTATCCCCACAGTCTCCCTGACTCAACAGCATCCCTGTGGAGTAGACCAGGGGATGGCTAACAGATAGGCAGACTGTCAGGTATTCAGGGTTGCCCTGCCTCTGTGTAAATTTCAAATGGCAACTCTTCTGCCTGAGACTGTACTTCTGTCAGGAAATTATTGTAATATACTGATGTTATTTGAACGAGAACCTTTGTTGCCATCTTCTGGAAAACTCTTGACAGTACATGAGAAGCAGTGTCATGTAGTAGTGAAGAGCACAGACCGGAGCCAGTTATTTGTTAGTGTTTGAATCCTGGCTGGGCCACTTCCTAGCTGTGTGACCTTGGGCTGGTTATCTGACCTGTGGCCTGTTTTCATCATCAGTAGAAAGGGAATAACAATAGTTTCTACTGTCTAGGTATTATGGGAGATTATAGAAAATGAGTTAACTTAGAATATTCCTGGCATCTAGTAGGCGCTGTCCTGGCATCTAGTAGGCGCTGTGTTATGTTTTGTTAAATAAGAAAAAATGTATTTTATTTATATATTTATTTTGAGTTGAAGTCCCACTGTCTATTTATTTATTTATTTTGATTTGGAATCCCACTGTCACCCAGACTGGAGTGCAGTGGCACACTCGTGGCCACTGCAGCCTCAACTTGCTGACCCCAGGTGATCCTTCTGCCTCAGCCTTCCAAGTAGCTGAAACCACAGACATGCACCACCATGCCTGGCTGATTTTTTTGTTTATTGTAGAGACAAGGTCTCGCCAAGTTGCCCAGGCTGGTCTCGAACCCCTGGGCTCAGGTAATCCTCTTGCCTCGGCCTCCCAAAGTGCTGGGATTATAGGCATGAGCCACCGCACCCGGCAAATAAGAGAAAATGTAAATGCAAATCTGGATCAACCATGTGAATGGTGCAACCTTAGATATGCCACTCCTGCATACTGACTAAGGGCAGGTGAGGTTTCCTGTAGGAGGGTCATTTCTGTGTACCTGCAGGCCCCTGCCGCAGTTCCTCACACTCCTGACTGGGTATAATGTCTTCTGGGGGACTGTGGCCAGAACTGTTATTTGTCTTGTAGGAATCCCTGCAGCAGCAGCAGCAGGAACAAGAGGAAACCCTCAAGCAGTGTCAGGAGCAGCACACTGCCGAGCTGAAGGTGCATCTTGCACAATAGTGTTCCTGTCTCCGGGCAGTGATGGGCCCTTTTGGGAGGTCAGAAGAAGCTGCCCCACCTGAAGACTGAACTGCTCTCTGCTTTGCAGGGCAAGGAGGAAGAGCTGCAGACTGTGCGGGATCAGCTCCAACAGGCCCAGGAGGAGCGGGACTGCCACCTAAAGACCATTAGCAGCCTGAAGCAGGTCAGCAGTCCCTCCCTAGCCCCTAGGCCACCCCTGGGCCTCAGCATGCAGCAGAGGGCAGGGAGAGAGCCCATTGCAGGCAGCCATTCTGGCACCCATCAGCTGTGCTTTCTCTACCCCACAGGAGGTGAAGGACACGGTGGATGGACAGCGGATCCTGGAGAAGAAGGGCAGTGCTGCGGTATGATGGGGGGGCTGCCTGAGCACGGCCCCCTCCTAGCCTGCAGCCCACTGGGCCTCAGCCCTCATCTTACCCCTATCTTCCCACAGCTCAAGGACCTTAAGCGGCAGCTGCACCTGGAGCGCAAACGGGCAGACAAGCTACAGGAGCGGCTGCAGGACATCCTCACCAACAGCAAGGGCCGCTCAGGTGAGGGGCCAAGACAGGCCGGAGAGGCTGAGGTGTGGGGGAGGCAGGTCTTGGGCCTGCAGTCCTGCATTTTCCTTGCCTGTGCCTCTCTGGCCCTCTTGAACTCCATCTGTCTTTTACCTTTTCTCTGTCTCTCTTCTGATTTACCTTTCTCTGTATTATGTGTTTCTTTCTATCTCTCTGACTCCTTTTTGCTGTATCTCTTCTCTGTTTCTGTCTCTCTCTGCCTCTGTTTCATTTTGTTCTCTCTCTTTCCTCTGTATTTGCCTGTCTCCCTGCTTTCTTTCTCTAGTTTCTCCTTTTCTTCTCCCTTTTTCTTCTCTCTGTCCCTTTATCTCTCTCTTTTTTTTTGAGTTGGAGTCTCACTCCATCACCCAGGTTGGAGTACAGTGGCTTGCTCACGGCCACCACAGCCTCGACCCGCTGGGCTCAGGTGAGCCTTCTGCCTCAGCTTTCCAAGTAGCCGGAACTACAGGCATGCGCTACCACACCTGGCTAGTTTTTTATTTATTGTAGAGACAAGGTCTTGCCAAGTTGCCCGGGCTGGTCTCGAACCTGTGGGCTCAGGCAATCCATTCGCCGCAGCCTCCCAAATTGCTGGAATTACAGGCTGAGCCACCGAGCCTGGCCCATTTATCTCTTTCTGCCTATCTCTGTCGCCTCTCTTTCTCTGTCTCCTGTCTGTCTGTGTCTCTGTCTCCCCACTGTATATGCTACATACACACTCCCACAGCTCACTTGGCATACACTTAACTATTGGATCCATTCTCTCATTCTATAAACCTCCATGCTCATGTCCAGGGTCCCTGACATGAAAGCCTCTGAGTACCTGCCCTCCAGAAGCTCCCAGTTGAGTTAGGGAGACAGACTTATATACAGACAGCAACACTGTGGTGGTTTCATTATATAGCTAATCCAGTCCATGTTATTTTTGCCACTTCAGGCAGAAGACACACACAAAAATCTGAGTTGTTTTGGCCTTTTTCTTTTAGATGGGGATCACCTAGAAATACAATTAAATAAATAAGATGCAGTGATGGCTCTGGTGTATCTCTTAGATCAGACTCAGAGAAAACATAACCCCTTGTACTCCTACTCGGGGTACCCATGTAGACCCTATTAAGCCACCCTGTCCTTGCTGGAAATCCTTTAGGGTGTGTTGTCCAGACACCCAGAAGCAGCCACAAGAGCAGTGACACAAGCTCAATGTCCATGTTTTAAATGACATGACAAAACAGATATCTCTCTCACCAATTCAATTTCTCTCTAAGGCACTCAATCTTCTGAAGTAATCTCTCTGTATAAAGGAGGAGTTTTGTTTCTGTTTTGTCACAAATTAATGTAAGAATCAGAGCTGGGCATAGTGGCTCAAGCCTATAATCCCAGAACTTTGGGAGGCTGAGACGAGAGGATTACCTGAGCGCAGGGGTTCAAGACCAGCCTGGGCAACTTGGTGAGACCTCGTCTCTACAATAAATTTTTAAAAAATTAACCAGGCATGGTGGCATGCGCCTGTAGTTCCAGCTGCTTGGAAGGCTGAGGCAGAAGGCTCACCTGAGCCCAGCGGGTTGAGGCTGTGGTGTCCATAAGCGTGCCACACTGCACTCCAGCCTGGGCGATGGAGTGAGACTCCTACTCAAAAAAAAGAATCTTAGAAAAGATTAGAATTGTGTACCATACAGTTACCTTGTTTGTTCAGGTGCATGATTATCAGAGTCTGCCTCCATCTTTTTTCCCTCTGTCTCTACTCTGACTTGTATCTTTTTCCCCGGTCTCTGTTAATCTCTGTCACCTGCTCTGGCTCTCCGTCCTTCTGGGATTTTCTCTCTGCTTGTGGCTTGTCCTGTGCCCTCTCCAGCTGTCTGTCTCTGAACCCAGCATCAGAGTGTGTATACCACTTGAGGCCCATGTGTTCCCACATTGTCATCTTTTTCCCAGCCTCTTCCATTTTGTCTTTCTTCTGTTGTGTGGGTTTTCCCAAAGAGGCAGCTCCTTTTTCTACTTTCTGTCTGCTTCCGCCTTTCCCCATGCCTGGGTGTCTATGCTTCTTTCCATCTCTGTCAAATCTATTTCTGCCTCTTCCTGCCAGTCGCTTCCCTGGGACCCAGGGGGATTGGGGCTCAGGTTTCTCTTCCCTCCACTGCCCAGGTCTTGAGGAGCTGGTTCTCTCAGAGATGAACTCACCAAGCCGGACCCAGACAGGAGACAGCAGTAGCATCTCCTCCTTCAGCTACCGGGAGATCCTGCGGGAGAAGGAGAGCTCAGCTGTTCCAGCCAGGGTAAGGGGCATGGAAGAGCCTACAGGCCTAGCTTCTCCCACCCCAAATATGGGATTCCCCCTAGCCTTTTCCCCCACCTGCAGCCGTCTCCTGCTCTGGGTCCAACACACATTTTCTTGCAACTTCACCCCAAGCCTACTGACTCGGATTCCAATAGATACATGGGGGACAGGCCAATCATTCTGTCTCCCTGATCCTCTGTTTCATCATCTGTATGCTAATCCCACCTTTCCTAGGGCCATATGAAAGTTCACTATCCATGTAGGTGGTCCCTTTTTCCAACTTGTAATGCTCACTTATTGCCATCTGTCATGTCAGCTTCCTTGCCAGCCACTTTCATTTGGAAATAATTTTTTTATTATTCCATAAATAGTATGTGTGCATTGTAGAAAATATTTAAAACCACAATGAACAAAAACATTTTTAAAAATTTAATATTAAAAAAATCACATTTTCACCATCTAGAAATCACCATTATAAATTCTTAGTTTCTGGGCAACTTGGCAAGACCTCATCTCTACAATAAATAAATAAATAAATAAATAAATTCTTATAAATTCTTAGTTCAACCCTTCTAGATCTTTCTTTCTTTTTTTTTTTTTTGAGTTGGAGTCACTCTGTCGCCCAGACTGGAGTGCCTTGGCCACTCCCGGCCATCGCAGCCTCGACCTGCTGGGCTCCGGCGATCCTTCCACCTCAGCCTTCTGAGTAGCCAGAATTACAGGCATGTGCTACCACGCCTGGCTGATTTTTTTTGATTTATTGTAGAGATGAGGTCTCGCTGCCCAGGAGGGTCTCGAACCCACGGGCTCAGGCAATCCACTCACCTCAGCCTCCCAAAGGCACGGAATTACAGGCTGAGCCACCGAGCCTGGCTAGCTCTTTCTTTTTTAAACCTAAATGAAGGCCAGGTTCAGTGGCTCAGCCTGTAATCCCAGCACTTTGGGAGGCCAAGGCGAGAGGATTGCCT